GTTTATATAAGCTATCATTATCTGCATCAGGATGATATGCAAAAGGTTCTGTCTCGTCCCGTATAGAATTATTTATTAATAAATTATGTTTCAGATCGCCATCAATGTCGCTTTCATCGTCAGTTAACTACCACATCAATTATATTTATTGTTAATTTCTAAATAGTTACTTTCTTAAAGCATTTCAAGTTTCGGAATTATTAATTTATAATAAAAATTCTTAAATCCACTGGAATTGCTTTTAATTATTGAAATGCAAGCTGTATTCGTGACGGGATTATGGATAAGAAATCATTATTTCAAATCATTTAATACATATGAGACATTAGAAGTGATTAGAAATGATATATTAGCGAAGATAACAGTTTCTATTAAATTTTTCAATTTTAGTTTATTACCGAATTTGATTTAGCTTTAAAGAATTACAAAGACCTTCTTCTTATTATGAATGCTTTTATATTACCATGACATAGTTACGTAAAATAAATGTTTCAAATGTATGTTTTTTTTCTTTTTATTTTCAATTTTGTTATTTAATCATTGTTTGTAATTATTATATTCAAAAGAAACGAGCGAAAGCTTGACTCAAACGAGATATCAGCAATTATTTAAATTACTTTTTTCCCACGCCTGGTGTCATACTATTTTCATTTGATAAGCCTTCGTATTTTTCACGTACATGCTTATTTTTGTTTTAAATGAAATTTATGCTTAAATGTACTTTGAAAACTGTTCAAACTTTTCACTCCGAAATTTAATAATCGTAAACAACTGTTTATTGTTTTTCATACATTTCTCTTATTTACATTTACATAGTTTTTATTTCACTGTAAGATAAAAAAATATATAAATCAATAAGTTAATAATTAAGCTTTATCAAAATAATAGATCCTTTCTATTTATATATTGATAAAAGTTTCCCTACAAATATACATTTACAATTTCATATTCTAACTGATTAAGATGCAATAGCTGTTAATTATTGGTTATACATGTGTGTGCGTGTGCGTGTGCGTGTGTGTCAATTATTGACTTATTGATCGTTAAAAATAATATGTATTCATTGGCCATATCACAATTGTTTATACATTACTATATTGTATATGTAGCAATCATTGTTAAAACTTTATGATAATCTACTAAATTTTTTAATAGAATTGAAATACAAAAGTTTTTAATCTTTTACGTAATTAGATGTTCCCTGTTTACCTTTTCATTGTCGCAAAACTTATCTCTTATTTTGAATAGATTAAATAATAATTATTCATGAATTTTCAATTATATGCGACGATCGAAATATTATGTATATATAATACTTTATATAAAAGTTTTACTCTCGTAATAAACGCAATTTGTTACAAATGAGATACAAATGAGAATAATTCCTGAAAATTCTCAACTAGAGTCATAAAAAACGTAACTATTATTATTTTGAAATAATTTATTGTGATCGTTTGGAGAGCAATAGACATTTAATCCATCTTCGCTTAAATGGACAAAAATTTTCATTAAGATAATTTATCTATAAATAGATACGATAGCAAAATTAAATAATCTTTAAATCACATGACTACAATAACTTGCATTCGCCTAAGTTCACTAGCTATGATAAGTACTTTACTGAATTAAAGATCCGAATGGCCTAATCTTAACGAGAATCTTAGGAAGCAAAGAAAAATTAATTACTAAATTCATTGATTTCTAATTAAGGTCTAAGATGTTTGACTCTGCTTTTATATACAGGCATATATATATATATATATATATATATATATATATATATATATGTATGTATGTATTTATGACCTATTCACTCTCCAATACATCCATATATTCGTTCATTCAATCTGTACTTCTTATGAACAACAACATGGTATACTGTAAAAATAACGTTGCTTGATAACAGATCTGATGGTTTTGATTAGAATGTTGAAATAATGATAATAAAACAAAATACGTATCGAAATCCATTCGTCCTTTATTAATTTTAATTTATAATAATATAGCAATAAATATATATTAAAAATACCACTTTCAATTCCAAATTTTATTAATTAGTCAAGTATGAAAAATATATTATCCTCTGACATTTCAAATAATTATATTAATTAAAATATTCTTTTTTCTTTCAAGCACAAATTATTTTCTTTAAATAGAAATAAATAATCAAAATCAATATGCTGCAATGTCTCTTTGGAATATTCAATTTTATTACATAATCTGACAATTGACTGTGAAAGCTTATCTGAATAATTAATTTTTTTTTTTTTCAAGAACTATATTTAAAATCAGTCCTACTTCCGTCATTCTTATCATTTTATATTATATAAAGATAGTTTGCAATCAAATTATTCATTTTTATGAAAATCCGTAACATATCGCACAGATTATTATATATACATAATTAAATATATGATATGATTTGTAAGTAAATTTATAATTTTTTAAAATTTATTTATTATTCTTTTTTTTTTTCAATTACAATAAAAGCCATTTTATATTAATGTATCCATCAATTTTTAAATTGCATCGGATAATACTACAATGCTTTTTAATCAAATTATTGTGTGAATACTATTTATAATTTAGCATTGTAATTTTAATTTTTTTTAACTTTACGTGAAAATTTAAGTATTAGCTTCAAGTCTTAACTTTGCTACGTCGAATGCACACTGTTACGTAGTAAAATCATAAAATTACGTATTAAAAACATATAATTGCATAAAAATCCATGACTTATAAATCTAATAATAATAAAAATTGTTATGTTTATAATTAGGGATGATGATTATTATAAAGTAATGGTTTCACATTGAAATAATCAATTAATGTAATTTGCCAAAAAAAAAAAAAAAAATTAATTTTTGCATACATATTGTTAATATTTTCGAATTTCTATTCCAACAATATCAGAGAACATTCTACGCTCATATCGAGATATTGTTGTATCACATCAAATGTATTATTTTTGGTAGCCTTGTTAAATAAAAAGGGCATTAACTAAGAGTAAATATTTTATGCTTCGAGCTTTATATTTATATAATTATTTTATATTTAAAATAGTAAATATAGTATTTGCAATTTTGCTTTTTATATTCTTGGAGTATTAATATTGCATACTTATTTGAGAATTATCCATATACATATATATATAATATTCCAGAGAGGCGTACAACAACATATATTCTCTAATATTTGTCACATGAAGTCTATTGTTATTGAAAAAGGTGTAAAGAATATCAAAATAAAATTACTCATCTGTATAAGCATGTTTAAGCATAAGATTTGATAATAAATTTATTAAATATGTAATATTAAGTAATTACTCATAATATTACAAATTATTAATTGTTCAATAATTTCAGTGAAGTTTCAGTTGGATTGGCAATTTTGTAAATTAATATTTGTTGATATTTTTTTTTTTTTTTTTTTTTTTTTTTTTTGAAATAATTATGGAAATTTATTTTAGGAGTTATCTTGCGAATTCATAGTTCTTAATAATTTAATGGCTTACTTTTCCCGCCTATTTGCTATATTATGCAATTATGGATATAAGATTAATTAGTTATTATTATCAATGTATTTATAATTTTAATGTTTATAAAACAGGGTATAGTAAGTAGCTTTATGCTTGTGTACATATAATTATCAGTTCAAAAGATATATTCATGAGATACTTTACTTTGTACAGTTTTCTATGAAAATGTTTCAAGTATTTACACTGACGTTTCATCTTTCGACATGTAAACGATAAAGTGCACTAAATGCACAAATAAAAATATTATTTATCATTTTTCTGTTCGTTTGTACACTTTGGTAGAGTAGAGTAGAGTAGAGTAGAGTAGAGTAGAGTAGAGTAGAGTAGAGTAGAGTAGAGTAATAGCAATGTAGATAAAATTGTAAATTAGCACGATAAATGTTTTTAGCATTCCTAAGCATTCCGAATAACTTCTCAGTTAAGTATTTATTTATTCACTTTTGTAAAATAATTATAAATTATAAAACTTTATCCTTATTTTTAATGATATATTTTTAATATCAATTATTGATAAATATAAAGAGTAATTTTATTATACAAAGAAATATTGATAAGAAAAAATTATAAATATAGAAAATCGTACCCAATTTGGCGAAACATGTGTAATTGTTTGAGGATGGTACTGTTCCAAGATATTTTCGATGGACTCTAGCGATTCCAAAATCGATGAGAGTAGACTTACTATACTTTGAGATTTCACATTACTACTTCCTAACAGGATAACTAAAACCTGATTAATATAAAATCACGATAAATTGAGTATATTCGAGTATTAGAATCCATTATATAATGTGCATTAGTCAAAGACGTGAGCAAATTCTTATAAATTAATCCATTTATATCACTCCTAATTTACATATTATTAGATTTAAAAAGTAGATGTTTCATATTTATTATGAATAAATGACTCAAATAAAATAACTTTAGAATCATCGATAAGTTTCTTTGCAATATAGTTTATTGCGAATATATGTTATTTATGATAAACATTTTAACAAATTTTACGATTTATTATAATAGTTAAATTGCAAAAATATTGTAGATAGTTTATAAATGAAGCTTTTACTTGAACGTAAAACGGTTTAAAATAGTTTTTTTGTTTTTTTGTTTTTTTTTTTTTGTTTTGCTTGTTTAAAGATGTTACACGTTGTGAAGATATTTGACAATTACTTTATTCTTTTTTTCTTTTTTTTTTCTTTTTTATTTTTAGACACGTTGGACGAATCTTCTTATCTACGATACAAAAAAAATAATGATCAACACACTTTTTTGTAATGAAAAATGTTATGCTAAATGCATAACATATTCGGATAATTAGATTATTATTATTGTAAAAAGAATTATATTCGTCATAAGAATAATTCAAGATGACATACTTACTAGAGGTAGTAGGATTTTTGAATATCCAAAGCTTAACATGTTTTCAAGCGATTGTTTCCACTACTACTAATCTAAAATCTACCTCGATTTCTCTCTAAATATATGTATATATATCCGATAGTTTTATTATCGATCATAAAAAGTGAATGTAAAAATTGATTGCCCGTATTTAATTGTTGTTCTATATGTCGCATTATTAACGGTTCGTTGCTAGTTTTACAATAAAAAAGTGATGGTTCTCGATATCTTAAATTAATACGTCGAAATATAGTGGGCATTTTCTCGATACATTTGTGGCTCTATGTGGAAAGTTGATTAGAACGTTAATAGTTGCGTACTGGAAATATGTTTAATTAATATATATATTGCTCGCTCTCATATGTGATTTTGTAAATATAAATTTACATTTAACGTTTATAAAGATGCATTCATAAAAATACGAGATAGTAGGAGCGAATTCGTTTAATATTACGAATACCGAATATGTCATCGCTGAAACGAAATAGAATCGAGAACTGAGCCATTTTTAATAAAGTTGTATTAAGGATCTCAATTGCTTTTAAAAACGAATAATCCTATAAATTTAATAGGTGACAGACGTTGCCCGAATAAATTTTCGCTTCTCATATGTCAAATAGTTTAAAAAATCTTTCACTAATTGACGATAAATAAAATTACTCTCCTCACATTTTCTTTGAATATTTTTTTAACATTATTGCTTATAAATATCGAATCATTATAAAATTAATTGTATAGTTTTCTTTTCACGCGTCTTGTTCAATTATATTATAAATTCAGTTATTACATAGGGTTTGAATTTACTGCGAGCGAGCACTGAAATATGTTTAATTTATGTCGACCTAAGTAGATACAATATTTGTTGTTGGTTTTATTTTTTTACTATTACGAAGCTGTTTCGTATCAGCCGTACGTATGTAAATGTTATATTTAATTGACATTCTTTATATAATATTAGTTTTGAAAATTAATTAATATCTTTTCTTCTTTGTTATATTTATGGTTTTTTTTTTTATTTAATTATTTATTTTTTTTTATGGCGGATAAACATCTTTAATATCGTATTAATCGTTATGGCAATGAATGATTTATCTTACGGTTCTAACAATATCTTTTGAAACAATTTTTCATTGAGTTGGAGGATATTCGAGATACACGTGATATATTATAAAGAATTAAGTGAATGAGAAATGATAATCATTTGTTAAATCTTATGTTCTGGTTTGCATTATTATAAATTTATCCTATATAATGAATATATTTGTGATCGGATTAATGTAATTTTACTTGAAGTTTAATGCAAATTGAGCCAAAATAAGTATTATAATTTAGTGTGAATAAAGGTTTAAGTAAAAGTATGGAAAAATTCAACTTATTTCTTATTGATTTGTTGTTATAGTTGTCTTGTTGCTAATTATTTTGTTTAACCTCAGCATGATAAGCGGTTACACTATTCTTATTATTATATTATCATTGTGAAATAGTAAATTTTTATGTTAAACTTATGAAATAGAGAAAAGGTACGATATATTTTTACTTTTAATGAATTCGAGATTATTTAATGAAAAATTATAGAAATTCATTGTTATTTATAATATAAAAAAGAGATTAGTATTATATTGACTATTATAATAATGCTTGAACGTCCAAATTTAAATTTATATAATTAATAATCCCATAAACCTAAATTTTTGTAATAATAATAAATATGAATACTATTGCATTGGATTTGTTAAAAAATATTTAGTACAAAAAAAAAAAAAAAAAAAACTATTATAATTCATTCATTGTATTTGTAAAACTTGTAATTATGTTCTGTTCTATTTTTCGAAAAATAGATAGCACATAGTTGATAAATAAAATGTTGATGTGTGCGGGAACAAGAAATTTTTGCGATTATGGAATACTATTTCGCACTGAAGCTTCTTCACTTGATCGATCACGTTATGGAAGTTACAGTAAGCATTTAGATATAATTTATTCTTATTCTCAATTGTACTTAATGAAATTCTTGTAAGCGTCACTTTATTGATATTTTTTTTTTTATTTTTTATTTTTTTATTTTTTTTTTGTTTTTATTATTCGTAAGTTATAGTCTTGATAATGTCATTAAGGCGTGTATGAAAGTTGTTAGATTTAAATTTTTATGTGACTTATATTAATTCATATAGTCGAATCAATGAAGAAAAGTCTGAAAATTTATATAGCGATGTGATATTAAATTTAACAATTATCAATAGCACTCAACTATGTCCTGATGTTGTGAAAATATTTTATTAGGAAATTATGATATTTTCTTAAGGTACAGCAGACATAATTGACACATAATTCAGTGTTAAGAAAAGGTCACCTTGCAGCCCAGGAGTAATTAATTATATTGATAACTAACGCTTCCCTGACCTCCAAATCGACCAGCACATTCTCAAATATGCAAATACTTATAAATCCATATGCATTAAATTTAGATGCACGTAATTGCATAAACTAACACTTTCGTATATAAACCAGGTTTTACGTATTGCGCCGTCAGTTGCATTGACTCATTAAAGATGTACGAGCCTCTACACACTTCAAATCCATTTGTCGTCTACGCACTTTTTCCCGCTCAAGTGTAATATTGACCTATTTTACGATCGATACCTAATCCGAGGCTGCACAATTTATCACAAGTAAGCTTACTGCCGCACTATAAGTACATACCCGTATAAGCCACATGGTTAATGAAATAAAAAATCGTACTCCTTGTGATACTAGTCGTAGCATTATTTTTTATTTTTAATATGGTGGATAAGCATATGTTTTCAATAGTATCTGCTCCGAGGATCCTAGGATATGCAATGAGAAAGAAGCGATTTGACTGACACAAGTTAATGGAAGCTTACTTCAAATGTCACGGATTAACAATAAGTGATTAGAAATGCTTTATTTAAAAAGTGTACGTGGTACGCATGTCACGTCATTAATCGTTGTCAACTCTAAAATGATAAATATTAAGGACGGACTATTTATTGGAATCTAAAATATATACTTTAACATATGCTTGCTCGTTATGATTTTATTAATATTTTGTATTTCACTTTTCGTTTAATTAATAAATAAAATTTAAGTCTTTGTAGAAAAAGCAATAGCAATTATATGGCCTATGACTGACTGCATTTATGTAAATTGCAAATTTTAAATTAAAATCAAATTGTTATATCTGAAAGTGAAATATATAGAACAGTACGACAAAGATAAAACTAATGAAAGTGACTAAATATGGATAAATCCTTATTAGAGATCAAAATTTATCGACACTCTACATTTATAATAATAAACATATATATATATATATATATATATATATATATTAAGTAAAGCAATAATTAAATTTAAATATTTTTCACGTAAACCATTCAAAATCATTTCAATCACCAACATAATCAATTCAAACAATATTGTAAAGAATTTATATTTAACAATAATGTGAATTTTCTCAAAAAACAAAGTTTTACACATTATTTAATTGTGTATGTAATATTATTATTAACTCCAATTACTTACAATTGATACTTAATTATTTAATTTTTTTAATTTTTGTTGAAAAATTTATTAGCAGCAAATATAATTTAAAATTTTGTTTGCTCGTTTAAAATATTTAAAAATATATTTAATGGTTAGTTACTGAAATTATATAAATGGATGGAATTGTATTTCATATATTGCAAATCTTAAATTCTCTGTCTATATTTTCTAAGTAGGGTTATCTTTGGAATTCCTTAAAATTACTGTTTTAAAAGCTTTTGCATACATTACTCAATAAGTATTTGATGTATTTCATTGATTTAAGCGAAGGTAAATTGATATACACGCATATTTATTCAGATACTATTGACGTTGCCATTAAATCATATTGACATTTCTATAATTGATTTTCTACAATGGTTTTGAATTACGAAATTGAAGTGCCTCAATTGTTGAAATAAAGGACATTTTCTTAAACAGAAATTGGTATAAGTTATAATTAAAATGATTAATATCTTAGCAATAAATTTTACTCATAATAAAATCATAATAGAAATGCTTTATCAATAAAAATGACATCACTGATTTATAATTTAATTGATTTTTTACATATAGTAAACATAAGAATTTTAAAAGAGTACTTAGTGTGTCAGTGGCTTTCAACGAAACTTTACATTTCTACGAAATAATTATTTTTATGAAAGAAGAAGTTCCTAATGCAAATTAAAGTTAAACCTTTTGAAGTAAAATTTATTAATGTTATAATACTATAAAGAGCAAAATACCTTACACGTATGATACAATAAATAAATCACGTAATTAGTATAATATAATTCTACAGTATTAAAAATATACAAATTTACATATGTATTACTTTATTAAAAATTAAAATATATTCTATAAGGCAATAATACTGTTAATATCATTTCATTAGTATGAAACTTTAATTTCTCTTTGGAATTTATTTACTATAATGAATATAAACTAAATTATATTATATTTAAAGGTTGTTGTTTTTAGATTATATCTTTATAAATTCACAGTCACATTCGTTACAATGCTAATTATTGCATTTTATAAAAATTTATTTTTATCATTAAGGACATATTTTTATTTGATTTAATTCATTTGTATTTAAATTTGATCACACAATTTATGCATTACGGGAGGTATGTATTTTTTATTCTTCATAATACTTTACACATACAATACAATGCTTAAATAGATATTATATATTAACTAATGTTATGAACAATTAATAAAATTGGGATAGAATTATATCCGCGCGCACACACACGCATAAATGAATATATACGCATGTTGCAAATGCGGGTGAATTTATAATTATATAAAAAATAAGTGTATACTTAATAAGTGTAAAAATTAAAAAGGTAATAATACAAAATTCAATAATGTTGAATTTTATATAAGTAGAAAAACTAATAGATATATTCTTTGAAATGTTATTTTCTTCAAATTTGGGAAAGTCTTTTTAATAATCAAAGATAGTAAAATAATTTATTTGTTTATCAAATCATTCTTTAAATATTCTTGATTCTT